TCAAGGGTAAAAAAATGTCGCTAAAAAGTTTTATTCTTTATTTCTCTTAATTTTTACCAAAGAAATCACTACTTAAATTATGTCCCCATCTTTTTTAACACCCTGTATACTCCCGAAAACTATACCACAATTATACCTACTCAGCGAAAGTCCAAAAACCTAAAATGCAGAATGAATCGTAAAGACTTAAAACCTAAAATATTAGTACCGCTTAAAACTACCTTTAAAAGTGCATTCCAACAAAGACTTCACTAATTTTATGCATGCGGATTTTGCCAGTCAGTGCGTAGTTATCGTCTGAAAATCTCCAAATGTCACGACAGGGCAATGTTCAGTTACTGTTATCACCAAACCCTACATTGGCAATGAAACTACAAGGTCTGAACACCCATCAAGGCGGGGACACACTTGTCATACACTTTTCCGATCCTACTACGATCCGATTTGCGGGATTCCAGAAGGATCGGTGCGGGATCGGAGGGGGTGAACACACATGTCATACACGCTTCCGACCCATGCCCGATTTCCTCCACCGGTCGATCAACACTTGCCTGTCTGATTTGTAAACTACGTGCAGCAGAAGGTGGTAAACATGTTCAAAAACTTTGGACTTCGGGATTCAGCCATGATGGCGGTTTGTCTAGATGAAGAGGAAGAAAGTCAGACATCTCTGAAGGGCAGTGGAAAACAAAGAATTTGGGTTCATTCTGTATGGAAAGAAAGTTAGGTGGTTTACTTAAGTGTCCATCTTATATATTAAGCACATTGGGTTTTCTCTCTCGAGTTCGTTTGGCTCTTCTACCCGTCCGATTTTCATGATCGAGGTCTCAAATTGAAGGTATGCACGCACAGATTTCACATCAAGCATCGTCATATATTTATCTTAAACCATTATTCTTAAATCTTAAGAATAAAGGTGATTTTTAAGAAACAACCCATCCTGCATCCGACAAACGAATAGACTGCAGTGTCGGTGCGTGATCGGAACCAAAATCGGAGTAGGATCGGAGTATGACATGACGCGTGTCGGAGAGGTGTGAACAACGGCGTTCAATGTTATGTACCATTCCCCTCTCCGACAGTCGTACCGCAGTATGATCGGAGTCGGATCGGAAGGGTGTATGACAAGTGTGTCCCCGCCTTCAAACGTCAAGCTTTGCCGGTATATCCACGACCGCGAGCCAACCGGCGATTGAGTCTCTCCCATTCTGCAAATACAATTCGTTTCTAAACATTGTAACACGTGATATTCGTCAAATCCGGACTGTAGACACAAACTAAAACACTTGCAAACCACTACAAACTCAAATATTTATTGATTTAAATTGTCAAGAGAATGGGAATCTCACAAGGTGTTTGCGATCGCGGTAAACAATCACGACGAGCGACGTTGCCGTGATCGCGGGTAGGTAATCACGACAGCTGTGATTCTGGAGTAAAAAGATTAAAGGCTTCATAGATATTGTAGGGAAATATTTACTGCAAATGGGTTTAAAAGAGAATTATAGCTGTAATACGGGGTAAGAACGTGCTTATAAAATTAAGGGTTTTCTCTGATCTCTGTAACAACGCAACTCTTTGCACCCATGGAAAAGTCTTAGATCTCCCTTGAGCCCAAAAATGGTTTCTGTTATAGTTTCATTCATCAATTGGTTGTATGAACCAATTCACAACAAACTATCCAAAACAATAACTTTATTCTGGATATTTTCGAAGAACGAGTAGGCCAAAAAAATTTAAAACTCAGGAGTTTTAAAGAACTTTTCTCTCCACAGGTTTGTGATAGTCTGCAGGGAAAGGAATTAAAACCGGTTTCTATAAGTGAAATTTTAAGTAAAAAATCAATACTAAATGTTTACAAATAATTTAAGTATCATTAATATTAGACTTGTGTTTCTGGAACATCGTATGCTGATAAATTAAGTACGAGAGTTTACGTATTGGAAAGTAGTAATCTTGTGCCTAAAGTAGTCAACAAACATGTCCCTCCTTCTTTTTGAAGGTATAGTACTCAATCTGTTAAATGGAAAGGGCAACTCTCAAACTTAGCTAAGAACTTTAACCTTAACTCTAAGTGGCTTGCTTGCCAAACCACCGATTTAAATATTTATAAAGCTGTTATTCACCTTTTAGAGAGGGAGATAAATCAAGCTAGATACAAGATTAAATTTTCTTGGCAATCTCAGATTTTTTTTCAAACCTAAACTATAAATCTAACACAGTACCACAGACAATATAATACTTTAATGTTATTCCATTGTCTGTGACAGTACATTGTAAGAAGACCCTGGTCCCCTTTTAGATCAGTCACCCTGTCAAACATATTTTAACACATAAACTTGTATCAAAAGTGCATAGTTTTCTGTATACATGTAATTTTACTAATAACCTTTAAGATAGGTTTGGAGATACAACTTGAAACTTGGAGCAATTTCCAAGTGTGTATCAAAGATTTTGTAATTATTAAATACTAGCTTTACCATAACATTTCAAAATAGCCAAAAACTTCAACCAGATTTAGTTATACAAATTTCAGTAAAATAGTTTTAAGATGTAAAAATTTTGTATTGTGTGTAAAGATGTTTGTAGTTTAGACATGGTAAAAGCTATACCTAAACAAAAATGTAATATGCACATGATCTTTAACTATTTGGGGACCATGCAATGTTTCAGGTTTATAGATTGAATGGATAGTAAAACCTTACTAATAACTCAATAGTTAACAGCAGACAGGATGCAACTTTAGCTGGCTTTGTCTTATTAGTGCATTCGACTTATCAAACTATTTTTTTCAGTATTAGATTCAATTGTTGAATATTGTGTTGAACAATTTTGTTGAAGTAAGTTGAATATTCAAGATTGTTTACTCAATATTAGAGATACCAGTGTAAGTAATAAATGTATATGTACAATTTGTCTGTTATGTATTCATTTATTAAAAGTCATCAAAAATTTCAATGTTCTTGATAGCTCGAGATTTGTTGAGTCCATAAATTGTGGAACTAGTGAGGTTTACTGTGTAGTAAACTTTAGAGATGTACACAAACTAGATGAGATTTATATGCACCACACATCATGCTGCTTATTTTCTGAATGATTGGTGAGTGTGAATAGAGATGACAGCTTTATTGCTGACTAGATCGGCTCTCTAGTCATGACCATTTAATAGCCAAATGACCAAGAAAGGATAGCTGGTCTAGTTTCAAATCATAAAACAGCTTCTAACTGTTCTTAGGATGGAACCAGCACATGTTTATATTGTAAAATATGTTAGTCTGGATGCGAGATAAAAATCTACAAAACAACAAGGGACGGAACACTTACATTTCGTGCATCCGAAGCAAAAAAAAACGACTATTAACTTTTCAAATTGAAGAACAACTTTGCTGTTAGCATACATTTCAACCAACATATAAGTATACAAGGCACAGCCCATACCCCCTTTTTTGTGATGACCACCAAGCTGCCGTTTACAGTTTATAGATTGTATCTCCAAGAGCACAGTTTTGCCCACATGTTACACACTGTCCAACTATCAATGGTGTCATCTCCATTCTCTGCTATTTTTACTGCCCTCGATATTAAAAATATTCACCGTACAATAAGACCTGGTAATACATCAAAGGAGTAATCATATTTGGTTGCTTATTTTTTCTGACTGAGGATACTAACATGGATAAAACCATACTCCCTTATTAGATTTGTCATCCTAATGGATCGGAGACGATTTTATTGCTAGTTCCGTAGGTGCTTTGTAAGGGCCCTGTAAGGGCCGTGTTTTGTTTACAATTTGTTTCTTGTTATTTCAGTAATTTAAAACCTCATTTAAACAACAACAAAAATCGATCTAATCATAAACAATAACTCATCCTCTAGTTATATTTAAAAAAAACCACAAATCATCAAATTAACCCTAAAATAATAGAAACAAAATGTTGTCGGCACTAGAAATCCGAGTCACCAACACGAACTAGACACGAAAAACAGCTTCAAAATTTACAATGTGATGAGAAGTCTACTTGTGTTGGTTAGTCTATGATAGCCTAGTAAATAGCAGAAATAATAACTCATGTATGAGATTCTTCAAAAGTCAACTCTTTGATTTTTTTTTAATAATTTATCCCCATAACTATTTTTAAGAATTCTGCAGAAGCATTGACTATGGTGTAAACATCCCATTCTAATGTAATGTAATTGATTTTGGCCACCAACAGTGTTCTAATGGCAATAACTGATTTAGACTTTTTAACCAGTCAAAGTGAAAGGACAACTTACTGTAAGCTATAGCATCTTTTATGTCACATCAATCATCAAAAATATTGAAAACCAAGCAAGAAAATTGAATTATAACACTCAGTGATAGGGTTGTTCAATGATTTATCTAATTGAATGAAAAATTTGATACAGCTCGTTCATATAGATGGGATATCTACCTCAGTATCCAAAGGGCAATATCTAAACATACAAAATATACAGTTCAAATAGTTTTGGCTGCGCTCTACCCGTCTGGCGCACGCAAATGCAAAGGTTTTAGTTCTTACTGTTTGTAGCCCCTATGAACCGATTTAAAAGATCTTGGTGACATATTTTTTGTTAAATATTATTGTAGTTTTGCCGTTTTATTTTATTTTTTTTTTTTTTTGATAATTTAAAAAATGTTGGGTTTAAAGGTTGGTAAAAATGTTTAAAAGCTTTTTTATCAAAATCCTGTTATCATTGTGTCTAGAAGTTCAAAATAATCATCATATATTTAGAAAATGTTTATTATAATTGTAAAGTAAGAAAATATACCACATTTTAAATGCAATGGAAAATTTAACTTATTAAGAGCATTTTAAATATTATAGAAGCATTACAAATAAAAAGGTTAATTTCTTCAAAGATTAAAAAAAAAGTTATTAGTAAAAAAAACAATCATATCAAATAAATACAGTATAAAGAAAGTTAATTACTGTAGTACTAATTAGTCACCTAAGGCCTGAGACAAAACTATTACTTACCGTCTGCGACTAGTCTTTGAACTATGTTCACCATATCTTTGGTTTCTTTCACGTAAAACTGGCAATCGAGATCGTGGGGCATTCTTAAATCTGAATCGAAATGTCAAGGAACAACTCATATTGAACAAGAGCAAAAACTATACCAAGCAAAGGCTACCGATATTGAACGCCTTTCTTAAAAGTATCACAAACACATGTCATAAGATTAATCAACCAACATGCAAATAGTGTTATACATAATCTAATAGAAATGTTTTATATGATTAATTCAGCTGTCATTAAAATGGCAAATGTAGTGTGATATAATAATTACCTCATGGCTGAAGTAATCAAATGAGTACAACTTATACAACAGACTCTCTTTGATTGTCTAATATAAATCCATTTTGTAGTTGACAATTACTAGTATAGGATGCAACTTGATCACTAGTTTACGACGTTATAATCTCAAAACAGATGTGTAGCACTTAGGACTTAAACTTTAAAATCTAAGGGGATAACAATTGCTAAAACATTCAAAAATTACCTAGGAGTAAACATGACTAGCACTAAACTTATTTAAATCTTTGTAAATTATACTTTTGACATGCGGAAAATGCATGCATAGTTGGCCAAAGTATGTTCAGGCACGGCACAATTTGAGGCAAAGCACAGTAGAACACTGTTCTGGCACCTCTTTCTTGAATAGAACTACTATGTTTCTTTAAAATTATTATTTGGAGAAAAAATTACCAACTGACGCTACTGTTTTAATATTTTTTTACTGCACCATCTTTAAGTGTGAGAGAAAACAAGTGAGATGCTCCCCTCTCTTCCCCCCGTAGGTTTAGATGTTGATCAGAAAGACAATTTGTAATTGGTTTATAGTAAAAAAAGCTACGGTACTCGTTTCATTTTCAAGAATTATGGGGGATAAAGTTTTATATGCACAAATAGAGGATCCAAAATATTCATAACATGAAACAAAATTTTTCATTGAGGCTAAAAGATGTTTTTATTTTTACCATGGTCGCTACCATTCAATTGAGACAAAAACGCACACAAACAGAAACTGATACATTAGTTAAATTTGTGTAAAACTTAGAAATTCATGTAAATCTCTAAATTCAAGGCATAAATAGAACTATTACTTTTTGAGCTCAGATAACTTGATAACTTGTTCCTTGTTTCATTATTGTGGCCAGTAATTTCCCGACCAAAATTTCCCGATTGTATAATACTCATCCCTGTCTGTCTGACACAAAGAAATTATCATGTACAGGTTTTAGTTAGACTATATACATCGATGGTTTTAGCATTAAAAGAAATAAATCCTAATTGTTGTTGTTTTATTTTCAATACACGTTATCAAATAATTCAATAGTTTAATATTATGGTAATTTGGTTCAGATCAGAGGCTTGTCTTTGTGGGAATTAATAAGTGAAAAACAAACGATTCTTGTTTACTATGGTCTAGAGATAAATATAATCCACTTTTAAGCCAAAAAAGCTTTTTGTAAATTAGTATTGATCACTCCAAATTCATTTAATTTATGTCCATTATTATTTTAACAAGGACAGGTAAATAAAAAGAGAAACGCCCTGAATACTAGAGACATTAATATGCCAAAATTAAACTTATTTATTTAAAAAATAAAAATAATTTACTAAACGAGTCTCAATAGTAAAAAAAATTGTTACCCATAGATTATCCGCAACAATTTCAATAATTCCAAATAAAACCCCCGTTTTAACTTTACTGATTTTAACTGAGAAAGTTAAATATTGTTCAGTTATCTAGAAATTTTGGATCTGAAGAAAGTTTTTAAAACAACACTAATGAACAAAGGCCCTACAATTTTTTTTTATATTTTACTGTAATTGAAAAAACACTAAAAAGTTTACATTTTGATTACTGCTGACTTTTAGAAAATACCTAATTATTTAGAAAATATCTTTTAAATTGGCAAAAATTAGATCATTTTCTCAAAACAGTTTTCTGCTGTGACCCCAAAACATATTATGGTCAATGAATAAACATATTAAGCAAGCAAGTGTAATTACTGTAATTATTGTAAAAGTTGGGTACCTTACAAGCCAGATGTTTCAACGTGGTAGACTGAGAGCAGCTCAAGCTCTGGTGTTAGTGCAACTAGACTAACTACACCAGTCACATGGACTAGGAACACAGACCTAAACTGCCAGCTAAGCACTAAGATATCACACGTTCTGAAAACATCTCACTCCTACCATGTCTGTCTGAACTAAACAGATGTTTATGTTGGCAAAACTGCATCATTTCCATACCTCAGAATATGTTTTTACTGTATAGACTTCCTAGTTAGCTTTAGTGAGCCAAATTAACATTGTTTATTCTATATTATGTAATCTGTAGTTTTTTTTATTGATGGTTATGTATGTAAAGAAGGCATAACAGATTTACCCTACTGTTTTTACTGAATAAAAATAGTTCAGTTTAACATTTGAAAAATAAAAATTCAAATATTTGTGGTTTCAGAAACATTGGAATTGGTACCACCATTGATTTTGTCTTACTTAGAGATTATTTTCTAAATGAATGTTATTGGTAGGTCTCTCTAATCTGACCATTCTGAGCCATCTAAACATTTTATCTTATGTTTAAATAAACATGGACTGTTGTGAAATTTTAGACCATTGTTTACCAAAACAGAATTGTTGCTTTATTACTCAGATTATTTGTTGCCCTTGTTTCTTGGTGGTACAAGCAGGCAGTGTAAAACCATTGATTTTTTTATGTTTTTTTTTTATATTTAATTTAACAACATTATTTGTTACACAATCACTCTTACAATTACAAATACAATTACATTTAAATTTTGTTAATTTAATTAATATTATTCAAGTTTCTTAAGCGAACATTTCATGAAATTAAATAAGACTAAGATTATTCAATAAAAAAAATCACTAACTATCAATATAAAAACATTTTATATTTTACATAAAGATCTACCAAACTTATTAGGTTATTTTTAGTAAAGTAATCTTTTAAAGTAATCTTCCACATACAGTAATTGATTTTTAAATATTCTCAGTTGGCAACTCAATATCCCCAACCTTGAAATCTCGAATTCCTTGATATCTCGATTTTGTGTATTAAAATCCCTTGAAATTCTGATAAATTACAATGTTAAAAGTACCTCTATAAGTTGAAGGTTTAAAATAATATTTATGTAAGGTATTTAAATATCTATATTTAAATATTATAATTTCTAAAGTACTTTTTTTGTCGTTAGGCTATAACTTCCTGAATTCTTCACCAATTTCCATAAATGAGGTGTCATTTTAAAGTTTTTTTTTACCCACTACACCAGAAAAATATACAAATCACTGATTTTTAGTAGTTTTATGTAAAAACTGTCTATTATATCGGTCTGCAAGTGATTAAGACTTAACATGTTTATTTACGTTATTCGATCAGCTGAAACACGTGAATCAAATTAATCAAAACAAACATTTTTATTCACTTCTCAAATCCAATTGATTTGTTTTTATTTCATCCATAACGACCAACATACTTAGTGCTTTCTACAATAAATAACCCTGGAGATGAAATCAGATTATTCACTTTTAAAAAGTCTACCAAACAAGAACAACTCAAAAGTAAGTACCCGCATGGATTCTTTAGCTTATATATCTCTTTATTTACGACATAGCCTTCATTTAGACATACCGGTGCTTAACAACCATTTTATTCATATTTAAAAATACCATCCAAAAGGAAACGGTTTATTTCAGTTGGATCGGTTCTTTACCAAGGGACATACAACGCTCTGTTGTATCTGTTAGAATTTTTAAACTCATTTAGCCCTTTAGGTTTGTCACCTCAAAAACCCATGCTAAAAAGAACTCTCATGTTGATGAGAAACATAGGCAGGGTCCAAGATTAGTTGTAGTTCACTTGGGCACCAACACAATCAAAGTCAAGTTGGCTAACTCCGGTCAAACTGTCATACTACGCAATAGTCCTTAATCCTTTCAAAGTGACTAAGAAGGAATTTCCCGTAAAAGTTACCTTTGTCATGACTTTAAATAAGGCACGTGGACAGACGCTAATGAAGTAAGTTGATGGACAGCCATCAACTCAAAAATCTTATATGGCCATATTACTTCAAACATGTTCAAAGAGGTCCTGTAAACATGTAAAACCTAGGTAAATAACTTAACATTATATTTTGAAAAAATTAATTATCTAAAATGTAAACTCACATCTGATTCTGAGTAAGGACCCATACTTGTATCAACGATGCACTTACTACGCATTATTAACTGTATGTTGTGTACTTCAATGAGTGGGATTTGAGAAGGATTCTAAGTCATAAATGAATCAGCTCTTTGCTATGATACTGCATTGGTTTTAACATAGACAAATAGAATTAAATATAGACCGGTTATATAGTGCTTCGGTTAGCATAAGTTCTGGCGTTCACCGCTGGGAGCACCGTATGTGGCGCACGAGATACGTAACTACATTGCACTCGCAGCAGTGCACGCCAGAACTTATGCTAACCGCAGCACTGCTGACGGTCTATATTTTTAATTCCATTTGTCTATGGCTTTAATTCATATTTAACCCAATATACTAGTTAACTCTAGTACCTATGATACTCTGGTCCTGAACTCCATCTATTTTCTTGGCTTCAAATTTTTATATCACATGGGAAGTCTATTCTGTGTATAGTCAATGGTTAGGCCTATACTCAACCTCTCTCTAACTTGAATCTCCCCATTATCGAGCCTCAATAACTGGAAGTTTACCTTTATACAATTTTCACGATGTAACTAAGTAACTCAAAGTTTTGCAATACAGTGCAAGTCAGCTGTGATTTTAATTCCTGCCCAGAAATGAAAAAAACTAGGCTACGGTACTTTGTCTGTTTGGCAATGGCTAGTAAATTTGCCAGTTATTGAGATTTTTTTGTACGTGTCTATCTCATGTCCTCAATTAAGTGTAAGTGTAAAACCTTGACACACGGTGAAAAAAAAATGATTGTAAGGCAGTTGACGATGAATTAAAGAAAAAAGGCAAAAACGCCAGTAAATTTGTAATTCTGCCAAACACTTTATCCCCT